GGGGGCGCGCCCCACAGTTTGGGAACCTCTGGGCTAAGCACTGCTTGTTTTTGTTTTTAGAAAAATTAATAATTGGAAAAAGAAAAAAAAATTCTTCTAATTGAATAAATCTGCTCTGAGCAGATTTATTCCTAAAAGATAGGTTTATATTTGATGCATTTTCACCCCGGTGCTCTCGGACCAATCACACCCTCTGTCGGTTGCCTCGCGCGCTGCCGCTGCTTGATCTCTGAAGTTTACCTCTGTGCTGATCACGCGCGCCTCCTTTCACTCAAACTGGACACAGGCTGACCTGTATGGATATTTACATCAACCCCCTGTGAGGAATTATTATTCTTTGGAGAACTCTACATCAAGTTAAGAGTTTAAAACCCACCGCGTTAGCTCTGGTTGCACAGCTCTACTTTAAAGCAGGAATAACTTGTAGTCGCGCTTTCAGAGGAGCGCGTTGAGAAGTGGTGAGAATGATTTATGTTTGTGAACAAAGAATTATGTGCGGCCTTTACATCTGCGCTGACAAAGTTTATGTATGCGTCCTGGTTGGCTTGCATTAGTGGTTAACGAATCAGCGCTAACCGCTCATCATGCAAGTTCAGCCCGGTGAGGAAATTTTGCGCTCTCCTTGTAGTGACGCATCAAGCTGGTTTTATATTATTGTATTATTATTTTTAGTATTATTTTTCCGGTTACACGATGCATCAAATCATATCAAATGCGTTGTCTACTTGGAGTTAATACGCGCGGCCGCACGGAGATCTGAGAAACTCATCCCATAAGCTTAAGCAAACAAGACAGCTTCTGTAGCACTTATTAAAACTCGACACTAAATGGAAGAGCTACTAAAGCCACATTAGCAGCATTAAATGAAATCTCCCGTTTGTTAGGGTATCTCTCCATCTCTCCATCTCTCATCATGCAGGGCCGGTCCAAGGGTGTATGAGGCCTTGAGCAGAATTTGACTTAGGGGTCCCTCTTGCTGCTAAAAACATCAGCACCTCTAAGAGCTCCTGTATTAGATTTAATCTGGGAGAGGGGGAGTAGTTTAATTGGCCAACCTAAAAAAACAATCAGTTATAATTGGAGTTTACTAATTTGTATTTGTGAACAAACAGAGCTCAAACTCAAAGATTAAACTTGCCAGCTCATTAAAATCTTAAACTTGAATGTTAAACAATTTATAGTCTTTTAATTTATGTATGCTGAAACCATTAAATCAAATTCAGCAGCATTGATAATCTCAATAAACAAATGTTACATTTCTATATCTGTGGTCTGTGTTAAAATATTAGCATTTATTGAGCCCCTGAAGCCCTGGGGAGCTGTTGACTTAATTAGGATTAAACAGAAGTGCAAATAATTGATATTCATCTTGATTGCATTTTTCGATTTGTTGCTTTTAAGGCTAGTTGTGGATATAAGTAGCGTTTCACTGGCGATGTTATCCTGCAACATAACAGTTACCCAGTAATAAAATTTCCTGTCAACTTAACATCTTTCAATACAAAAACACGGTGGACCGCCTCGGCACCCCAACCACCAGGCTTAGCAAGTTTTCTGGGGGAAACACCAAATCAATGTCTAGCCCAGTTTTTTGTTTGTTTGTTTTTAAACAGAGCTTTCACCACAGTAAACCACACAAACCAATTTTCATAGTAATTTTACCTGAAAATAACACGATCAATATAACGAGCATACTGGTTGCAATAAAAGAAGACAAGATTTAGTCAAAACTATTTTTTGGTTGCTTCCCAGATGAAAGCAACCATTAAAAGACTCACGACGGTGCCAGAAGCTACAAGTCTCCTTTTTGTGCTTACATGTGGACCCAGAAATGCCCTGAAACACTCTCCTGTTCATTATTTTGTATTCATGTTTAAAATGAACATGAATTCATCTTGATTTTACAAATACCATGTAACATTTTTACATGGTAAAATGTTAAGTCTGCTTTACATGTGTAAAATTTTACTATTGCGTTACTTTTCCATCAGCTGTGTGAAAAATAAATGGAATTTTTTTTAATGTAAGGAACAACAGGTAATATTCAATTGTGTAATGTTAAAAAAGCCCAAAAATATTATGAATGTAACTTACATTTAGTTAAGCTAATAAGAATGAGGAACAATTACTGATTAACATGAGTAGTGATTACTGATATATATGATTAAAGGATGACTTAATGACTCATAAACATTCATTTTAAAACCTTGAGTTCTTTTGTAACGGATTATCATGGACACAAGGTTCTATATTATTTGCATCAGGTAATAGTGTGGGTTCCTCACCTTGTTTTGGTCAGTCCAGAAGAGGTAAAATCCATGAGGATCCACATGTAGAGTCACTGGAGTAACTGTTGACAAATCCTGGAAATATATAAATGTATGGAGTCAGTGACAAGAAGAGGAGTCTTTCTGCAGAAAACATTTTAGAAGTGAAAGAAACATTTTAAAAATCCTGATAAGTGTCTCATCACACAGATCACAGCTTTCTACTATACAAATTATGCAATCAGTCCACCTGTTCTGGTGACACAAAACTGTGTTGATTCATCAGTGTTAAAAGATGATTTTACTAGAAACTAGCATAAACTTCTGATGACGCAACTCATTTGAGAGCATTCATGTTCAGCTAGCATCCCATGGCAGCTTCAATTGGAACTCTGCTGGATGTGGTCCAGCTGTATGTCCATAGAACAACACTAATATAATTATTAGTCGCTATTTCAAAAATTAAAAGTTGTGTGTTCATCTGCATTTAAAAATGTTATTCTTTCTTGTGTAGTTATATGAAAAGCATTTAGCATAAAAAGGAGCACAGCATTATTATTAAAAAATTAATACAAAAACGGAAGATAAATTGACCATGACATGTAAAGAAGCTGTTTAGTAAGCATCCATAAGCAGCGTCTGCATTCCTACTCACATAAATACACATTGTGATGTCACATCGTTTTCTTATGTAATAAAGTGATGACATCTCACTGCAAGAATTAGCATGTTACAATAGCTTAGCTAATTTAGATTGTATTATTTTATTTTTTTGTGCTTAATTTAACTTTGTGTCTTAAGAAATACCTTTATGTCTTTTTAGGAGTGTTTGTAAAGGATTCTTATAGTAATGTTGATGTGGACCCTAGGAAGAATAGTCTCTACTAATGGGAAATAGTCTCAACTGTAGTAGAGACAAATGGGGATCCTTAAATTAAGAAATAAACAAATTCTTAGTTTGTTGTTTGCAGCGCTACATGTTAGTGATTCTCTCTGGTTACGCTTACTTTTATTTGTTTTTTACTTTTGGACAGTTATAATTGTGTAGCCAAAATCCCAGAAGAGTTGAAAATGAAGCTCTTCCATCAATCAAAAAAGGCATGGATCTTATTCCCTACTTCAACGTCTTTCTAACCATAGGGCCAGACAGATTTAAATTGCAGCTGCAAAAGCAAATGAGGTGGATTAGCAGTGCTAGGACACTTATTGTGGAATATCGCCTCCTGATATATATATCAG